TGACGGGAGTTCCTGTTTGATTAATTTTTTTAAGGATCAAGGATGGTTGGTAAAAATTATCCAATGGATCATGATGATAGAGAAAGAAACGAGCTTTAAGATGCATTTTTAGTGGTTAGAATCGGAATATTTGTTGCCAAGATACAGCTTTTCAAAGATCAATCAAGAAATTGCAATTTTCCTAGATGACCTTTTCTGCTGATACTTTTTTAAATATTTTTTTTCTCAAACTTTATGGATACCATTTTAAAGAGGAGACTCTCAGCTTTTTAATGACATCCTTAAAAATATCCTAAGACCATTTCCCCAGGACTTACAAGGATCTAAAGTTCAACCTACTTCCACATTTAGCAAACCTAAATGAACTCCAACTTATTTTACCGCTAACAAAATCCAGGGAATTTTTCTTACTTAAACCAATTATTTCCTTCAAAAGAACTAATCTGAAGCTTTCAAATGCGCCTAGATTCACTGCAATACCACCAGTTGTTCCCAAATTATCGTTATCTAAAGCCAAAATAGAGTTTCTTCATCAAAATAATTTCAGTCCAACTCCAAACTACACTTCTTACTCAGGAAAAAAAAAAATCTTTAAAACAATTTCTCTTGCAAAAAAGTATCTAAAGACGGCAAACAAGCATCCCAAAACACCTAAACATCACTCCAACGAATTGTTTTTTACAATAAAAAAGATGCAGTCTAGCATGTTGATGCCGATGACGTATCGATCACTGTGTAAAAGCATCTTTTGTGTAAAAGGCGGCTGTATATTTTACTTTCTGATGGCTTTCGTGATGAGCTGGTTTTATTCGGGCCGGCGGTCGGTCTGTAGTCCGTAGAATATAAGCAAGGATATAGAGTGTGGGTTGCAGCTCAGTAATTACATAGGGCTCGCGGGTTGGCGAGTAACTCCCACTTAAACACTCGTCGAGTACTAAATATTAATGCATATTTAAATAAACCGCCGACGGAACAAAAGCGCAGGTCGGTATTTGAGCCCTAAGCTGAATGTTACACGCCGTAAACACGCTGCTAACGAGAGTTGTTTCTAACTCTTCACCACTCACTTTATCATATTCCAAAGATCCATCAAATCCACTTATTTTTCTGGCCCTCCCTCGACTTGGTCATAGCAAAGAAAAATGATTGGAAAACACTGATTTATTTACCTGCTGTCAAGATACTTGGTCATTTACTTGTACTTAATTGCACTTGATTCAACCATCGCAACTGTAAATCACTGACTTGCTGCCTAGTGTTGTCCAGGTCAGGCACGCCTGCAGTCATCGATACGATGTAATTACATCTATCAAGCTGGACTGGCTTATATGGTTATAACGCGGGACAAGTATGAGCTGATGAAAGCAATAGAGAAACATAGATTGTGAGTAATTAATCGCTAATTTATTGTAACAATCTTGGAGAATTTTTTTTTTAATTGAACCATTGACATTCTAACTTTGCTTGAGAAACCTGAGAATAGCTGATCACTGTCTTTGGGATTTTTTTTAAGGATCAAGGATGGTTGGTAAAAATTATCCAATGGATCATGATGATAGAGAAAGAAACGAGCTTTAAGATGCACTTTGAGTAGTTAGAATCGGAATATTCGTTGCCAAGATACAGCTTTTCAAAGATCAATCAAGAAATTGCAATTTTCCTAGATGACCTTTTCTGCTGATAGTTTATTTAAATATTTTTTTTTCTCATCGAGATGAATTTTTTTCTCAAACTTCAAGGATACCATTTTAAAGAAGAGACTCTCAGCTTTCTAATGACATCCTTAAAAATATCCTAAGACCATTTCTCCAGGACTTACAAGGATCTAAAGCTCAAGGTAATTTTTCTTTATTTCTGAATTGAAAAAAAAATTCTATCAACTTTAAATAAATAAATAAAATTAAAATTCCAGTTTGAAAAAATCATTTCAAGGTCAAGATGTGTCCAACATCCTTCAAGAACCTCTAAAGACAGAAGTGGGATAACGCCAACGATCGTGAAATCTCTAGAAGCAGCAAAAAGTGTCTGTTGACTGATCACGTGTATAAAACCCATCAAAGAGTAGTTGTCGTTCAGAGTATGTACATATATACATATTCACATATTGGAGGACTCGAAAACGTCTCGAGGGCCTTTGGAGAGTAGATGAAGACCACGTTGAAGCATCGTACGACCGACCAACAAGCTTTACTGGGCGTACGCTTATTAAATTTGCATATTGCAATTTATAGTGCACTGTACACTACCATCTGCTGTTGATCATGATAGTATTGTTCATCCAAAAGAATCCAAAAACAACTAAAAAATCATTTAATATCAACCCTTTTTAATATTGCTTAGCTAATTGTAAGTCTACACATTCTCATATCAACTCCAAAATGTAATGGAAATTATTCAGCTGATAAACTAGGTGGTGACTTGAGCACTTTATCGATGAAATATATCTGTACATGTTTTTTTCAGTTGTGGTCACAAGAGTCCATGAGCTTATCATATATGGTCGCTGACTGTTTACCGCCCTGAGCGATCTCCAGAGTAATTCTATCTCGGTTGTTCCAAGTGTACAGTCAAGTAACTTGAAGCAATGGTCGATATGAATTGATCAGCTAAGAATTTCTGGAATAAAAAAAGGTAAAAATGCTTGATGAAGATAACGAATGAATGTAGATATAAAAGAATGTAGCAGCAGAAATGTAACCTGTCGTCGTCACCACACAATAATTATGGTCCACTAGTTCAACTAGGGTATAAGCTCTTGTTGCTATCTCTATCTCTAGTGGATTAGCATTCATATGAATTAATGTCCCAGTCATATTGGTTTGTACATTTAAATAGGATATAGATATTAGATTGGCAAATATCATTAACGCGGCCACCCTGCCGGAACGAAACAAACGCCCCATTACCTATTATGTGTTTAACTCATTAATCATTGATCGCGTCTGCAACTCACATTAGCTACTTTATTGTTACGCACTCTAGCCACACTTGACAATCTCATTTGTGTTAAATAAAAATCCTCTTAGAGGTCCTTGAAATGATTTTTTCAAACTGGAATTTTAATTTTATTTATTTATTTAAAGTTGATAGATTTTTTTTTTCAATTCAGAAATAAAGAAAAATTACCTTGAGCTTTAGATCCTTGTAAGTCCTGGGGAAATGGTCTTAGGATATTTTTAAGGATGTCATTAAAAAGCTGAGAGTCTCCTCTTTAAAATGGTATCCATAAAGTTTGAGAAAAAAATTCATCTCGATGAGAAAAAAAATATTTAAATAAACTATCAGCAGAAAAGGTCATCTAGGAAAATTGCAATTTCTTGATTGATCTTTGAAAAGCTGTATCGTGGCAACGAATATTCCGATTCTAACTACTCAAAGTGCATCTTAAAGCTCGTTTCTTTCTCTATCATCATGATCCATTAGATAATTTTTACCAACCATCCTTGATCCTTAAAAAAAATCCCAAAGACAGCTATGATCTGCTATTCTTCTCAGGTTTCTCAAGAAAAGTTAATCAATGCTAAATTTTCTAAAAAAACTAATATTAAAAGAAAAACGGGTTGATTGATAGAATTATCAATGATAAAGAATCCATCTAAATAAACTAAAAATTTTATCAAGCCATGAAGAAATAAATCCTAAACTGAGTTCATTGCATCAATAACCTTCTTCTCTGAAACTCTATCATCCAGCCTCCGATAATGTCTACGAGCGATATATTTTGTCATATCTCAAGCACGATACGATCAGATATTAATTACCACTCCAACTCCACCAGTTACATCCTCTCAGTTAGAAAAAGAAGTCTCGTGAATCAACATGCAATGTAGTAGAAGCAGTACTCTAATCTCAATCGTCTCAAATGACTATTTTTAATTTAAATCTCCCACGTTGGCTACTTAGTTTCAATATAATCACTCGTGTCAATAATCTTTCACGTACTACCCAAGTCCCTCACATATTACTCGAAACAGGTTTGCATAATATAGACACTAATTTTATTGGTTTTTCAGGATGATTACCAGCTTAATTATTGGTTCTGGATATTTACATAATTACTACTGAGATAGTAAAATCTCAATTAATAATGCATCTAATAATATTCTACGGGATTAAAATAAATGAATAATTAAATTAATATTCATATTAATGATAGAGTTGGAGCAAATGACAAATACAAATTGGTGAAGAAATTGAAGTCAATGATATTGAGAAGCTGGTCTAGTAATTAGGCATTTAACTTTCTCTTGTTGCTTGTTACAGATGCAAAAATGATGGAAAAAAGTGCAAATGGAAGGATCAAAGGAGTGTGAGCAAGTCCTACGCTGGTTAAGTGCTGGAGGCTAAGTGGAGGGAAAGAGACTTGAAAGCTAAAAGGGTCGATGACGAGAGAGTTCGGAAATGTACGTCCCACGTGGGTGAGTTAGTGTAAAGACATCCGTTCACCGGTTATCTGAGGTGAGAGGGAGGGAACGTAATGCGTGGGTGGCACCGAAGGGGTGAACATTTCAGGTGCTACTCTTTTTTATTATACTCGTATTTCATTTACGGATATTCATGAGTTTTTCTTCTTGGTTCTGATCATTGCTCTGATCGTGTTATTGCTTCAATTACTGATAACTTGCTCAAAAATAACTAAGTAAACTATTTTTTGATCGTCAAAATATTTTTAATTTATCCTTCAAAGATTATCCAGCATCTAGAGACATTAAAAATGAATCTAAGATTTCTTTTGTTGCTTTTAAAAATTAATTTCAACTTTAATATTGTTGGTATTGGAGTATTTAATTGAATTTGATGGATTAAAATAAATCTATTGGAAACATTATGCACTAAATTCAAACCAATTGAGTAACCAGAATATTCTAGCGAAGTGTGTTTGGACCACTGGCATCGGAGACCTACCTAATAGCTAAGCTACGGTTGTTGCCAATGATGGTAATTATATGTCTAATTGAATGATATTATTCTAAAGAAACTTTGTTAATTATTGGACAAACCTTTTTTGTAGCCAACCTAATAACTATTAGGCAATCTTTGATTTTCCAGCATGATTCCTGATAGTATGTAGGTTTTTCTTGATAGAAGATCATGTCTACCTTCCAAAAGATTGTCTGCATTCAATAAAATCTTCATTACTTTGATGTTCAGTTTGTCATCATTGTCGTTCATCATCGAAAAGCCAGCTAAGAACCTACATGATAAAAAGAAAAAGAAGTTAGTAATGATTAAATACTTAATATACCTGGCTTTTACTCAAAGACATCAAATAATTGTTGATAGAAAAAAAATGAAAAAGTAAATTTAATTACCAGAACTTTAGGATGTAGAACCTCGATGAGTTGTATTTATTGAAGAAGAATGAACCATCATCATGAGTAAATTTTTCTCAACTCCATTCCAAACATTCACTTCCATAGTCATTGTGGCAGCAACATATTTATCCTAACACTGATTCCAAAGTGTGCAAGTTAGGCGCATCTCCTGCTGCAGTGTCTGGACGCCCACACACATGAGCTAAGATTATTCTGAACAATCACAGTGGTAGGAATTATTACTGTGTGTGATATAAATTAAAATTTTGCGAGGCATTTACAAAAATGAACAGTCATGTGGCTAGTGGAATATATAAAGTATGATATTTATACGAGTTAGTGAATTATTGACAATACATTGGAGATATGAGAAGTTTAAAAAAGTGAGAGGATAACAAAGGAGGACACGAAGAAGAAGAAGAAGAAGAAGCCTGGAAGCTGTCTCTCGATCCGGTTTCCAGGCCAAATTCACAATGTCAATGTATATAATCCGGGTGAAAGGACTGGTGCACTAGGAAGGACTCAAAACCATACACAACCTCATTATTTACTCAGAGCTTTCGCATAAACTCAAACGTTCAATTATTGACATAAAAATTCAAACATTTTTCGTTGGTTTTTGTTCACGCGTACTTGAGTTATTTTTTTTTTTAGTGTACTCTTTTCAACGACACTGACTTGTATAGCGGAAGTTTTCACACATCTGCATCAGGGATAGCTGCTTTCTTGGGCGTTCCTGGCCTGAGTGGTCCATATCTTTGAACGCCCACCATGTCTTTGCCACGAGTTTCATTGTCGTCGCGAAACTTCAACGCCCATATCATCTATTAATGCTTTCATGCGATTTATATGAATAAAAAACACCTCTCTTCCTACTTCGTCACCTTTGTGTACGATATTTAAAATCATTGTCTTCAAAAATTACTTTTAACGCTTTTTCTCACTCACTAGGTGGCCTTGATTTCTTTTTTTTACTGTTCAAACACATTTAGACGAACTTTCAGAGTCTATTTTTATCATCAGACCCTTTTCAAATCAGCTATAAATCCTATTTTTTAAATTAAACCTTGTTTGGATCTACTTAAAACCTTTTTTCTTTCATTATACCTTTTATAAACCTATTAAAGGTCTCATTTTTCATATTAAACCTTTCCTAGATCAGTTTAAGACCTTTTTTCTTTCATTAAACCTTTCCTAAACCTCCTAAAGGCCTCATTTTAATATTAAACCTATCCTAGATCTGCTTAAGACCTTATTTCTCTTATTAAACCTTACCAAGATCGAATTTGAACCCTCTATCTTTCATAAAAACATCCATATTGATTTTCTTCAGTCTTTTTTTCATCAAAATGCCTCCTAGATCAACTCCAGACCTTCTTTTGTTCATCAAAGCTATCCCAGACCCTTTCTTGATGCTCCTTTTCCAACATAACCTGTAATAAATCAAGAAATTTATTTCTATAATATTTAATACGTCAGCTAAACTATGTCTTGATAACGAAAGATATTGAAAGAAAAAAAAAGAAATGACTTAAAAACATTAATAAATTTTATTACCTCAATTATATCGTCATTGTTATCAGCAACAGACAAATATTGAGGCTTGCACGAACTTGTCTAAGCGTGCAAAGGCATGTGAAAAAAATTTTTTTTTCGTTAGTGTACTTAAACTAATAAATACATTAAAAAATGTTGGATATAGATAATGATGGTATCAGTGTGAACTGATGAATGAATCAAAGCTTGTGAGTTATTTCGTTAGTGTAAGTAATAAATGAATGAATGAAAACGTAATTTCTGCTCATGAATCATTGATAAGACGAAAGGATCAATATACTTGATAGTGTCACACTTGCGAGTACCAACTATACAATGATGACGTGATGCTTTGAAGTCATAGAATGTGTACAATTGTAATCGTGCAATAAATGGCACACCTTTAATGTAATCAGAGCAGCATTTTGCAATTTACAGGTTATAAAAATGGACAATATTCCATTGCTTGATACCTGAATATATAAATTGTCATAGTGAGGATATTAAATTCATTAAAGTTATTAAAGTCATGTGGATATAACGTAAAGTTAAAATGACATAAAAAAATATTTAATTAAATCTCACATAGGTACTGGGTGATATAGTTAACTGGTCTGCTCACTCACAGGAAAAGATCGTGATCGGATCGGGCCAGACTGGCTGGCGGCAACTACGTTGTCGCTCAAGGCAACAATGACGTCAGTTACTTTCCGCCCATACGTTTATCGTACCAACTGCTATACATATAGATATACCACTCAAGAACGTTGTTATTTCATCCACGTGACAAGATACATCAACTTGTTGCTACCACACACTCATCCATTTTGTTTTTCTCCTTAGGCTTTCTTCAGGTGATATTTCATACTAGTATTTCGCGAGTTTTTAAGAGGTGTGCTCTTCAATGATACTTCAAGAAAGAATTATTTTCGCTTATTGTGACTTAAATGTTGGATACTCAACATGACTGGTCTTTCATCATTTTTTTTTTTTTTTGACACTTCCTTTGGTCGGAAAGTACTTGTATTGGTTGTCTAGAAGATCGAGAAAGTTCTAATCTACATCATCATAGTGTTAGTTTGACATTATTTTAATTACTTTAGACGTAATTAATTTTTAAATGCAACAATTGTAAACATTACAAAAATTTGAGGTTATTTTAATATTAATTGATTCAACTTGATAACCATATTTTTAGTGACGACTAATTACAAGTAAATATTGTAAAAAACTTGAGTACTATCACATTTTCTAGCTTTTATTCTAGGTCTAGAATACAAGAAAGTTCTAACCTATAACATCTAGGTGTTAGTTCCAATAAATTTACATTACTTTGATCGTAATTGATTTTTAAATGTAACAATAAAATGTTAATTAAAAATATAATTGTTTTGATGGTTAAATTATGTATAATTGTTTTTTTTATGTCTTTATAATGACTTGAATATACTTTCATTACTACTGTATAGCTCAAGAAAGTTTCAATCTAAAAGATCCAGGTGTTGATTTAATTTTATTCTTATCAGATGAGTCATAAATAATTGTTGAATGTAATCATCACAAATGATTTTTTTTTTAATAAATAACTCTTTTGTATTATTACACAAGTGTTTGTCTAATTAATTCTAATTTCATTCAATAAAAAATAATTTGTTTTATTGCATATCAAGTGTAACACAATGCACTGCTAATAACTGGATCTCAAGTTGAGAAAGATAATGAGAATTGAATATTTATTTTAAAAAATAGAAAATTATAATAACAAATCAATTTTATTAGTCGTAAAATCCACTTTGAGAAAACGAATTGACGTAAAATCCTATAACATTGATGATCACATAAGATAAATATGATAAAAATTCTACGTACTTAAAATTAAAATCATAAAAACGATAGAATATCATGGGTACTTACATCTTCTAATTTTATTTTATTAGGTATTCTGATTTTACGACGAATTTTTTAGGTAAAAATACGTTAATTTAAAACCATAAAAATTAATCCAACTACGTAAATATTATTACGTTAATATGATTATCTAATTACTTACTGAATCACTAGCTAAACTGATCGTTAATTTTTATAAACCCATCTCACAACGATAACCAACCATAATAGATAACACTATTGCGTACAGTTTTGAAACTAATCTGATGTAACTACATACAATGTTTCAAGTCATTTCATCATTTGTGCAATGATGAAAATACCAGAGAAAAATTGAACATAGCTTTTATGATAATTTAATTGAATTTAATTACCAAGTGCACTCAATTACATCGATATTTAATATTGTTAGATTTTTTTCAATTGTTATAAGGAAGTGGTTGTAGTGGAGTTGATTTCTGAAACTCGTAATTTCATGATATCTCCGCATTTTGGAGTATAATGCTGGGTAGTTTTTGAGAAGATGTGTGTAGGTATGTCAGGGTTTTTTTTGTTCACGAAATCTCGAGAATGAATGAAGATATCGACTTTGTACTAATTTTATTCGAAAGATAATGCGATAAAGAAGATCTCAAAGAAGTTTCAACTAATTCGGTCGAGCTGTTTTTTTTATAACAAAGAAACTACGAGATAAATAGAGTGATGGAGAAGTGGAAACACATTCTACCTATTGGATGATCAATATTAATATGTGATTGGGTCAACATCAACAAAGTATGGTTATACACAACTACACATGACTCTTGACAACTCTATATTGTTTATAACAATTTAAATGAGTTATAAACAATGAAAAATAGTTGCTACCGATGAAGTGATGATTGCTGCTGATAGATTGGATCTATATTAACTAAATATTCTTGTCAATCACCACCCATGACTCTCACCTACTTCATATTGTTTATAACAATAGCAATTTGTTGTAAACAATTAAAAAAAAATTCCAGCTATTGAATGATCATTATTAACGATAAATCAGACCAACATTGACGAAATATTGCTGTTAATACCTACACATAACTCCAGACCATTGGATATTATTTCTAACAATTGCAATTTCCTATAAACAATAGAAAAAAATTTTATCTCATTCAATTGGCAAATAAATTCCCATAATAATTAAATTCAATTAAATAAATAATGAATGAAAATATCTGACTTAATTAAATCCACATCATCAGCTATCGAGACAGTCCAAGAGCACTGAAAAAAAAACATGCTTGAATACAAAATCGATAAAATAAGGTTCGATAATCAGATAAACAAAGATATTAAGTACTCGAATAAACGTCGACCTTAAATTAGATCTGAGTTAATAGGTATTTATATGAACCACTTGTAGATAATCCCAATCAGGTCATCCAACGATTTTACACATACTCCACTTTTACAGATCGATGATTCACTTGTAAAGATATCAATAGAGATCACCGATGGAATTGGTATCTCAGATGATTCAGAGATGAGTATCAATAAATGAATATTTAGAGTAATCTGGTAGTACCTAAAAATACATACGCTAGAGCTACTTTTAGAAAGATGGTTTTTTAATAAACTACTCGAGGTTTATCGACTCTCATGTGTAGCTGGAGAGTGACTCATTCGTAAGAATTTCTGTAAAATGTGCATATAATATGGTACTAATGCATTCTTTGGGATGTTTTGATACGTATTATCGTGGATAAGAATATAACAAATGGTGTTGGTCGTGTGTCAAGTTGAAGTGCACGCGTTTGTTATCTTGAAACGTGATAGATATAATTAAACACGATATTCTTCGTGAGAAGAAAAACTTGCTGTAATCATCAAAAGTGTCGTTTATTTGAGTAAATAATTACCTTTTTATTCTATTTACATAACAGATGCCTCATACGTTGTTAAAAAGCTACTGTGCATACTGATGAATAACATTCTATTATTTAACATTTTTTTTGCAGGCTTCTAGTTATCGAAAAATGTTTGTATTGTAGCTCTAGGAATCGATGATTTTCCAATCTTTAACATCCAACTCTTGCTTCATTTTTATTTCCAGTCGTTTACTCGTAATTAATTTTCAAAGACGCATCCTTTTGTTGATGTTTAAGTTCAAACGAGTCATTCTTTTGGAATTTTTTTCGCACACTTAGAGTTGTTGGAAAGTGATTGTATTGGTGTGTTAGAGATCGAGAATTTACTCATCTACAAGACCCAAGTCTTACTTTATCAATATCTCGATTAGTTTATTCACAATAAATTCTTAAAGACAGTCATCTACAAGCTAGATGCTGTTCAGACCAATAATTGTCATACTTATTAATTTGCAATTTTTTTCGCAGACTTCCAGTCATCAAAAGTGCTTGTATTGATGTTCTAGAGATCGGCAATTTTCCAAACTACATCATCCTGGTCTTGGTTTTTTACTTTCTCCATTTATCTAGTCCTAATCAATTTTTAAACCCGTCTATCAAGATCATTCTAACCTCAAGTATTTTATCAACAATTTTTTGATCATCTTTGTCAGAATTTTTCGCACTCTTCTAATGACTCAAAAGTGTTTATATGATTGCTCTAGAAATCGGGAAAGATCCAATCTTCAAGACCCCTATGTGAGTTTCATCTTATCATCATCAATTGAGTCAGAAATAATTTTTAAATGCACCTATTGACCACTGTGTCTCCACTTCTTCATGCTTACCACTTTAATTATTATTTTCAAATAAAAGCTAAATAATTCAAGAATTATTATGACTAAATCAGAAGCTGAATAAGCATGAGAAAACCCTTTAGAAAAAATTCCAAGTGAAATAATAAATATTTTTTAATGATTTTAGTGACAAGAGTCTAGTCTCTCATGATTTTCTGCCTTGCTAATCATAGTAGGATCAAGATTTAGCGCATAAAAAATGATTACGAGTGAATTAAAAGCATCAGATTCACGTATCAGATTAATCCTCGTCTCACATTCACTAGTGAGCGCCATCTTATGTTTTATATTTGTTAAGAGGGCGTCTGAGAATCATAAAAAGGGTAAAAAAAAATGAAAAGTGAAGTGAAGAGAAACGAGAAGAGATACAAGATGAAACGATCTTTAAGGAGCTGCACAAGAGTTAAGCGCCGACAGCCTTACAGGAGTATTCTATAACCATGGAGTTTTGGCATAATTTTTCGTCGGCTCCCTCGATCTTTATGCAGATCGGGAGCAAACATCTAGTCTAACCGGCTGATTGGTATTCCTAAACTACTATATGTAGTCTCATCATTTTAGATTTATCATTTTACATTCCATTCTCATGAATTTTATGCTACGAATATTACGTATCTACGATGGATCGGTATGAAAATTACAGTTTTTATTTCAAAAATCCGTCATTTTTTAAAATTAACTTTCACTGGTGTATTCAACATTCAACAGTGCTCCATAATTTTTTCCATTCTTTTGGTCACTCACTATCCCACTTCCGGTTATCAAAATTGGCTTTCATTGTAGTGTTTGAGATCCGTCTTTTTCTGATCTACATACACCTGGTCTTGGATAATTTTTTCCACCACTACTTTGCTTGCAATAAATTTTTTAACAGAGCCATCAATGCTATCACCAATGCAAGCTTCTAATTACATTAAATTGTAAACCAATTGTTAAAAATATTTCCCATGAAGTCAATGTACCGTACATCCATCAGTGAACTCTAGAAAAAAGCTTTAAAAGAGAGAAGGAATAGAGGTGTGCAATATACCAAGTACATTGTCGGCCGGCAAGTCTTAAGATCTAACGTCAACAAGAGTTTACGCGATTTCTGAGAAGTAGACAACGGCATGGTTTTTGTCTACCTCACAGTGTCTTTCTCACTCTCTAGTTTGCCATTACGACCACCTTCACTTTACCGTATATTTATATTCTCTATTATTACTACACACATCATCCAGGCTCCAAGACTTATTTCTTGCTTTCCTGTCTCCAGCAGTGTCTTTTAATAAATCCCCTGGTGACAAATAGACATCAATTATTATTTCCTCACCTCACACTAAATCCTATAAAATACTGTCATTTAAATAAAACTTACCTCCTGGACTCCAGCATTTTTTATCAATAAAACATCTAGATTCTCAAAGTAGAGCATGCTGATGATGGTCTGGATGTTATCATTAAATAAATATTTAAATAAAATTACTGATAAATATTAAGCATTTGTGGATAAAATACTGGTGAATTTGCAGGTAGTTTGGTATATTAGCAGCCTACGCGAATGAATTTCTGACGTAAACCAAGATCAGATGGACATTGGATGCTGAAGTCATTGAATAGAAAGAGTAGTTGGTGGTAAACTGGATAATACTAATGTATGAGCATACTTTCACAACTGACAATGTTCATCGTAATGCTAAGCCGATTTTTTCAATCCAACCTGGCCAG